CTTGTAATCTGATTTTTGGTCAGCCAAAGCAAGTTTCAGGGAGACTATTCAGATTTTAATTTAGAAATAAGAATGATGCTGAGAACATTTATATTATGAAATGAATTTTTATTTATTTTTTTTTTTTTTAAGACAGAGTCTCACTTTGTTGCCCTCAGTAGAGTGCTATGGCGTCACAGCTTACAGCAACCTCAAACTCTTGGGCTAAATAGTCTCTCTCTTTCTTTTTTTTTGTAGAGACAGAGTCTCACTTTCTCACCCTCAATAGAGAGCTGTGGCATCACAGCTCACAGCAACATCAAACTCCTGGGCTCAAGGGATCCTCTTGCCTCCACCTCACAAATAGCTGCGACTACAGGCACCCACCACAATGCCTGGCTATTTTTTGGTTGCAGCCATCATTGTTGTTTGGTGGCCCAGGCTGGATTCGAACCCGCCAGCTCAGGTGTATGTGGCTGGCGCCTTAGCCTAGATATTCTCTTGCCTCAGCCTCCCAAGTAGCTTGGACTACAGGCGCCCCCCACAATGCCCGGATATTGTTTGTTGCAGTTGTCATTGTTGTTTAGCTGGCCTGGGCCGGGTTCGAACTCACCAGCTTCAGCATGTGTGGCTGGCACTGTAACCACTGTGCCATGGGCGCTGAGCCAGGGGGTTTTCATTTTCTATGTGGGAGTGACTTTGAGGTTGTTAGAGACTTGAGAAAGCCTAAAACACCCAGAAAGGAGAGAGATGACAAGGGTTACACACAAAAACTTACCAGGTGGGAAGTAAGAGTTTGGTTGAGGTTAAGAATTTCTCTGTGGTAACAGTTAGGCTACTGTGCCAAGATCTCTGACAGCTCCTGCCAGCCTGTGTGCAGGCGCAGAAAAGACAGGGAGTTGGTTTCAGTCAGGAAGGAGAGAGGTGGAGAATGCTAAGGACACTAGCAGCAGGCAGGTGATGATGGGTTGGTGGCCGTGGATCCAGGCTGGGGCGGGAAGGGTGTGCAGGAAAGAGAAGGGAAGAATTTGCTGGCAGAAAAAAAGAAGGCAGAGGCGGACTGTGAGCTCTGTACAGGGTACTGTCTGTGAAATTCCAGGCTGTGTCTCTAGTGACTGGCACCTGCTTGGGATGGGGTTGTCACTCAATGAATAGTTAAATAAATGAGCTGAGAGCTTAAGGAAGAAGAGGTTTCAGGTAAAAGGCAGGTGAGGTGGAGGTAATGGAGAGAGCTTCAGTACTGTGGTCACCGTGGTTGTGATTTAGGGAAGGGGTATTTCAGGGGCAGGTGATAAGGCTGGTGTGTTCTTGTGGTGGGATGGCTGAAAGAACAGAGAGGCAGTGTTCGGCAGGCAACCCACAGGAAACCATTGGTCACCAAATGTTGGGTGCACAGGTGGCCTTTAAGGAGGTAAAGAGCATTTCCCAAACTGGGATCCTTGGACCTCTTACATCTGAAACTGTGGGGGGCGGGATCCATGAGTTTATTGGAAGTGAGGACCTTTGGACCCACTTCAGCCTCCTGGGGGAAAAGTAAGCATAATGTGACAGAATTGAACCTCAAGGAGCAGGAGTGTTTATGGGATGGGGAGGGGTCAGGGGATAGGGTACCCAGTGGGCATGGATGGTGGCCCCTACCATCCATGGAGGATACCAGATACTCAAGTTAGAGATATCACGGCCTGACGGGCCCATGTGAGCAGGGGGCCAGAAGGATGGGACCTTAGCCTAAGAGGTAGCTTCTGCTAGAAAGGAGGCCCTGGCTGGGCAGTGCAACCTGATCCTTTTCCCTTGGGCCTGGGAAGAGGGGGAGTGCCCACACTGAGCACCCTGTCTTTGGGAGAAGGGGTGGGGGTGATGCATGGGACTGTGGGACTCCCTGTATCCAGTTCGTTCTCTGTGTCCCTCTTGGAACAGCAAAACATAGTCTCATACCTTCAGCCCCTCTTTCTTCTCAGCCTCTCCGACTGATTATCAGTGCCCTGTCTCTGTGCTCCATTGGCACAGTCCACTCCTCAGCCACCCACTCTTCAGCTTCAGCTCTTACAACCCGACTCTCAGCCCTCCATGGGTTCCTCTCAACCACTCCTCAAGGGCTATTCTCCGAGGCCCATACTCCACTGTCTGCAATACAGCCACCTCTGCTCAGCCCCCTCATTCTGGTCCTCCATGTGCATCACCATGCTCACGTCCCTTTACACACACACTGACCCCAGGTGAGAAGACCCCCGTCAACCCCAAGGGGAATCCCCATCCACCCCTCCCGGGGGCCAGGCAGCCAAGGCCTGGCGGCCCCCTAGTCCGGCGGTTCCGCCCCATCCAGGCAGGCTGAGTCAGGCTGCAGGAACTGGGCGGGGGGCAGTGTCGGGAGGAGCCAAAGGTGGAGCCAGAGCCGCTGGAAGAGAGCGCAGCCCAGCCGGCCTGCACCAAGTGGCCCTGGGCCGGCGGGACGCTGGGGGCGAGCAAGGGGGGCTCTTTGGGACCTACCATGAACGCCAAGAAGAGAGGTAGGACCTAGCCTGGGGCTGCGAAGGCTATGAGGCATGCCCCAGAAGGTGCAGGCCAAATTCTGGGGTGTTGGGTGCGTGTTTTTCCGGAGCCGGGTGAGGGGTCTGCCTAGGATCTCTTCCTACCAAGGGCAGGACCGAAGGCGTGCATCTGTGACTCAGTTTCCAAGTTGGAGCCGCAGGAAAGAGGGGGTGGGGCCCTTCTCGGCATTGCGCCCCACTCTGGGAATCCCCCGGCTGGCAGGCGCCGGGAGGGCTCTGGCGTCCTAAAGCCTGAGAGCTGTGAGGGCTGGGGGAGCAGTTTACACTGGGCAGGCAGATGGCAGGCCTGTCGGGCAACTCTATAGGGCTTAGTGTGTACCGCACCCGCCCCGCCGTGACTTCCTGCAGCCTCCCAGGGTGCGGGCACCCCAGCTCCTGATCCACTTGTGGGGGGAATGTCAGGGGCAGGACTGGAGAGGCCGCCCCGCCCCCGGGTAAACTGGCGCTTCCGCACATTCTTCCCGCGCCCCGCCCCTTTCCTGCCTCTTCCCAGCCGGAGGAGGGTCCCCTCGAGACCCCCCCCTTCCTGCTCTCAGAAGCAGGCGGAGCCCGCACCTCGGCAGGAAGTGGGGGCCGAGCCGAGGCCACGCTGAGTCCGAGTCGGAGGCTGAGACGCTCGCTGCTGCCCTGTCATTAACCCCGGGCTCGCGGGTCTAAGAGTACGAGGCCAAAGCCCACTGGGGCTGCTGTACCTGATCACCAGGAGAGACCTCCTTCAGCCCTGGAACCACCGGGCTGTGGGGAGTGGGCTTCAGGGACTCGACTGGTGCTGGACACCATTCTCCCTGCCGCCCCTAGGGAGTCCCGCACGGACTCATTCCATGATGTCCTTGTCTGTACGGCCGCAGCGCCGCCCGCTCAGCGCCCGGGTCAGTAGGAGCCAGTCGTTCGCAGGAGTCCTCGGCAGCCACGAGCGGGGGCCCAGGTAAGAGAGCCTATGGGACTGGGTGTGTAGTGAGGGTTTGGGAGACTCCTACTGGCCTCTTTCTGAGGACAGCCTCTTCTTCAGGAATTTACCGGTCTTCAGCCCGCCAGGGCCCCCACGGAAGCTCCCTGCGCTTTCCCGAGTATCCAGGATGTTTTCCGTGGCTCACCCAGCCTCCAAGGTGCCACAGCCTGAGCGGCTGGACCTGGTGTATGCAGCACTTAAGCAGGGCCTGACGTAAGCAACTCCCTCCCCATCCCTTGCCCCAGGATCTCTCCTCAAACCCTCATCTCCTTTCTGTTAATAGGAACCTTCTGCAGCCCTATCTCCCTTTCACTGCTGCTTGTTCCTGTGCATCTTGAGACTGGAAAGGTAAGTTAATTTTTGTTGTCACCTCTTTCCTCAGGGCCTACTTGGAAGTGCACCAGCAGGAGCAGGAGAAGCTCCAGGTGCAGATAAGGGAGTCCAAGAGGAATTCCCGCCTGGTAAGTGATGGGTGGTAGGGATGCCCTGGGCTAATGCCCCCCACTGACACCCCACTCACCTTCCCAGGTTGATGAGCTGTATTTGTGGAGTGAGGGACTGGGTCCAGCCAGCTTTGGGTGATGCCTGGGCTATTTTCTGGGGAGACTTAGTTCAGGTGTGAGTAGGAAAGGGAGGGTATCAGGAAAGGCTTATTTGCTGTGCATGCTTTCTGCTTGGGATCAGTGCCTGCTCATGGCATCTTCCAGTGTTACAGATCTGACCCAAAATACATGAATGACAGATTATGTTGTAATTGCACTGAAGAGAGAGGTGCTTCTTGAGGAAGAGCTTAGGGCTCCTAGAGGTGGATGGAGGATGAATGGGCAGAGAGAACCATGCATAACGAGGCCCAGGGCTGCTAGAAAAGGGATACCAGGGAAGAGGTTGGAGAGGGGTTGTAAAGAAGTCTAAGGGACCACCAGATCTGTGTTAGCAGCATGCACTATGCAATCATCCAGGAAAGCAGTCAGTCCCTGCCATATCTGGAGTGGCTGTGGGCTGCGATATGAGGAAGGTTGTGGGGAAGGGGAGCGATGATGGACCTGGGCAAGCAAGTGCCTCTGCTGGTCCTCTGCTTACCTCCTAAGTGCCCTTCTCATCCCCCCGCAGGGCTTCCTGTATGACTTGGACAAGGTGAGTATATAGAGCATTGTGTTGAAAGGGATTGATTCATGGGGAGGGTAGAGGGCCCTTGACTTTAGGCCCCTCCTGACCCACCTCTCTCCCAGCAAGTCAAGTCCATTGAACGTTTCCTGCGACGACTAGAGTTCCATGCCAGCAAGGTATGTGTGCAGCATGCATGCAAAGTGGGGTGGAGGATTGCATATCATAAAGAGACTGGGAGATGGAAGCCCCAGGGTGCACAACCCCAGTGGTGATCTCAGTCCCCCCACTGCTACCCACTTACCTTCCCAGATTGATGAGTTGTATGAGGCATACTGTGTCCAGCGGCGACTCCGGGATGGTGCCTACAACATGGTCCGTGCCTATAGCACTGGGTCCCCAGGGAGCAGAGAGGCCCGGGACAGTTTAGCTGAGGCCACTCGGGGACATCGGGAGTACACAGAGGTAAGGGATGGGTACCCATGAAGCAGAGGCACAAGTTGTGGCAGGGCTGGTAAGAAGAGACTGATTCTTAACTACCTTCTGTCCCTGCCCTCCCAGAGCATGTGTCTGCTGGAGAGCGAGCTAGAGGCACAGCTGGGCGAGTTTCATCTCCGGATGAAAGGTACTGAGTCATGGGAGCAGGTGGTGGGAGTGGAGGGAATATGCTCAAGACCTCCCAACATGGCCTGTCTACTTCTTCCTCAATTCTTAGGGCTGGCTGGCTTCGCCAGGCTGTGTGTGGGCGATCAGTATGAGGTATGAAGTTGTGCAGGGAAGGGCTGGGAAGGCAGGATCATGGGACCACGGGCTGCCTCATCCTGCCTGTCCCCCCAGATCTGCATGAAATATGGGCGTCAGCGCTGGAAACTACGCGGCCGCATTGAGGGTAGTGGGAAGCAGGTGTGGGACAGTGAAGAAACCATCTTTCTTCCTCTGCTCACGGAATTCCTGTCCATCAAGGTGATGTCCCAACCAAAGACCACAGAACACCATGGTCCTATGAACTCCTTGTGACCCTCATGACCTTGAGACCCTTACCCCTAAGACCTCAAGGCTCCACGGCCCTGTGAATGTGTGACCCATGACCTTCATGATCTTTGAGGCCTTGAGAACAGTCTTTGTGACTTTATTACCTCTTGATTCTGTGAATATTTGACCCCCTAAGGCCTATGACGCTATAACACTCATAACTTAAGTGACCCTCTCGGACATCTGTGATCTCTGGGCTGTCAGACAGCTTTAAGTCTCCATGTTTCATTACTATCTCATAAGCTCTAGGCAGAACCAGCCCTCTGATGGCACATGATCTTATGGCTCCTGCACCCTGTGACCCTCCCCCATATACTCTTGGCTACAGGTGACAGAACTGAAGGGCTTGGCCAACCATGTTATTGTGGGCAGCGTCTCATGTGAGACCAAGGACCTGTTCGCTGCCCTGCCCCAGGTTGTGGCTGTGGACATCAATGACCTTGGCACTATTAAGCTTAGCCTGGAAGTCACATGGAGGTTGGTGGGACTGAGGGGTTTGGGGACAGGGCCAGGAGGGCTGTGGCACCTACCAACAGCTTCTTCCTTCCTCAGCCCCTTTGACAAGGATGACCAACCTTCAACTGCTTCTACTGTCAACAAAGCCTCCACAGTCACCAAGCGTTTCTCCACCTATAGCCAGAGCCCACCAGATACACCCTCACTTCGGGAGCAGGCTTTCTATGTGAGTTCAGGCCCAGGCCTCACTATTTCCATGGGCTCCCTGGGCATGGTCCTGAAATGCCCTTTTCTTTCACCCAGAACATGCTGCGGCGGCAGGAGGAGCTGGAGAATGGGACAGCATGGTCCCTGTCATCTGAATCTTCTGACGACTCATCCAGCCCACAGCTGTCAGGCACTGCCCGCCACTCATCAGCCCCTAGGCCTCTGGTGCAGCAGCCCGAGCCCCTGCCCATCCAAGTTGCCTTCCGTAGGCCTGAGACGCCTAGCTCTAGGTCCTTGGATGAGGAGGGCGCCATGGCCCCAGCCCTGGCAAATGGGCATGCGCCCTATAGCCGGACTCTGAGCCACATCAGTGAGGCCAGTGTGGATGCTGCCTTGGCTGAGGCTTCAGTGGAGGCTGTGGGCCTTGAAAGCCTAGTGCAGGGACCTAGCCCACCTGTATACCTAGATCCCACCCACAGGGAGCACCCTAGTCCTATTCCTCCTGCCCTAGACTCTGGCCACTCTGCCACAAGCCCTACCCTTGGTACATCAGGCCCTGCCTCTAAATTTACAGACCCTGCCCCATCTCTAGACTCAGTTCAGGAGAACACAGACTCTGGTCCTTTGGAACTGCCAGGCCCTACCCACACCACTACAGACTCTACCTATAGTGCCATAAGCCCTACCCACAGTGCCCCAACCCTCACTCACACTACTGCAAGCTCTACCTACCACAAGCCTATGATCTCTACCCTCACTACTATAGGCCCTTGCCCTACTATCACAAGTCCAGTCCAGACCACTGCAAGCCCCACCCATACCACTGCAAGCCCTACTCACACTACTGAAAGCCCCACCCACACAACCAAAAACCCCACCCATACCACCACAAGCCCCACTCACACAGTCACAAGCCCCACCCCAGCCTCTACTACCTGCATTCAGCCAGCTCCCAGAGCCCTCAGCACTTCTGACCAGAGTCCTTCCTGTTCCAGTCGGAAACCCTTCACAAACCCTGTGCCAGACCTCCCGGAGTCCATCATTCAGAGGCTAACCCCCCCTGCCTCCCCACTATCCCCTCTGCCCCAGCATTCAGACCTCACTCTGGCTGTGGCTGCCCAGGCCCCAGTCTCAGGGGAAGCTGGAGAGACTGGGGACAGGAGGCTGGAGGAGGCACTGGGGGCCCTAACAGCTGCCCTGGATGACTATCGTGGCCAATTCCCTGAGTTACAGGGCCTAGAGCAAGAGGTGACCCGGCTGGAGAGTCTGCTTATGGTGAGGAGGACTGGACTGCTGGACTGGGCAGGGGCGGCACAGGGAGGGCAGCCAGGCAGTGGCAGCAGCTCTTGCCCCTTTCACAACCTCAGCAGAGACAAGGCCTAACTCGCAGCCGGGCCTCCAGCCTTAGCATCACCGTGGAGCATGCCTTGGAGAGCTTCAGCTTCCTCAATGAAGATGAAGATAATGATGGTCCCAGTGACAGGTGAGGGGGCTAGGTGAGATGGGAATGGAACTAAGTGAGGGAGAGGACAGGCAGGGAAAGAGATGAAGCAGTGCTAGGTAAAGGAGGAACAGGTGAGGTGGGAGAAAGGCAAGATGAGGGAACAGGTTGGGGGGGGGGCAGGTAGAGTACATGAGGATGGACTTGCTGGCAGTTGCACCAGTGCTCACCCCTTACATGTTCTTGATGCCTATGTCTCCAAACCCATCTGTGTCCCCAGTGCTTCTGACCACCCTTCTCATCTCTACAATGTCTGCCTCCCCTGCTCGTCCCCATCAGCTTGTGAGCCTCCAGCCCCTCCTCGTCCCCTTCACCTCACCTTGGACCTACCCTATGAAGGAGCTCCTTCAGTGTCTCACCATGCACCCTGGGTTCCCCAGCACCAGCCCCGTCTGTCTCAACCATACCTCTCCTGGAGGCCTCGGGTCCTGAACTGTCAGTCCCGGAGTAACCTTCACCAATTCCCAGTTGATAGTCCTGCTCAGTCCCTGCTCCCTCTGCTGCTGCCTAGGTCACGGCCCAGTGCCCTGTGCCCCTTGCAGTCCACTTTTCATAGAGCATCCTGCCTGCACCCTTATTCCCACCCCTCCCAGCCCCAGGTACCCCGGTGGTCCTAGCCAGAGCTGGCACAAGGCATGCTGACTCCAGAGACTCCCTGCTACTTCCTGCTGTTCCCAACCCTTTCTCCTTCTGGAAGTCCTCTGTGAACTTACCCATTATCTGTTTTCTGTGCTTCATCTGTTCTTCCACTCTGGGTGGAGGGAAGTTTAATAAAAATAAATACTGTTGACCTGGAAGTGATGTGTGCTCTTGGGGCGGTTGGCCTCATTTTTCTCTTAGGCTCCCAAGCAGCCCAGAGGCCGGGGCAGAGGACAGCCTAGAGTCACCCAGTGCCCGCCCCCTCAGCACAGGGTGTCCAGCTCTGGACTCCGCCTTGGTCCAGCACCTGTACCACTGCAGTCGCCTCCTGCTGGTGAGGCTAGTGATATTCCTCCACCCTTCCCTTGTAACCCCTTATCCCAGGGAGCCCTGCATTTCAATTCTGGCTTTTGCTGAATGGAGTACCTTCTAAATCAGTGGTTCTCAACCAACCTGTGGGTTGCCGGGACCCCTTTGTAACAATGAAAATACATCGTGTATATCAGGTAGTTACATTATGATTCATAACAGTAGCAAAATTACAGTTATGAAATAGCAACGAAAATAATTTTATTGTTGGGGGTCACCACAACATGAGGAACTGTAATTAAAGGGTCGCGGCATTAGGAAGGTTGAGAACCACTGTTCTAAACTCTGGCCCTTACCCCGTCTTCTCCAGTGCATGCTGGGATTTGTAGTCCCTGGGCTCCATCCCACTCAAGCCCTACCCTGAGGCCTGAGCTGGTTGGCCACCCCTGTTCTCCAGAAACTAGGCACATTTGGGCCCCTGCGCTGCCAGGAGGCATGGGCCTTGGAGCGGCTACTGCGGGAAGCTCGAGTACTTGAGGCAGTATGCGAGCTCAGCAGGCTATGGGAGATTCCTGTCACCTCTGCCCAGGAAGGTAATGGCCCTGTGGGCTCTGGTTCTGGTATCTGCCCTGAAGCTCCTACCTCACCCCACCTGCACCTGCCTGCTCTGTTGCTGACATATTCCTGCAACCTTCACAGTGGTACAGTTCTCAGCTTCTCGGCCGGGCTTCCTGACTTTCTGGGACCAGTGCACACAGGGCCTCGGCCCTTTCCTCTGCCCCGTGGAACGGGTACTTCTCACATTCTGCAATCAATACGGTGCTCGTCTATCCCTGCGCCAGCCAGGCTTAGCTGAGGCTGGTGAGTGGGCTGCCTACCTGCCCCTTCTTCCTTCCTTTCTTGAATCCCTAGAGACAGGGACCTCAGGGAAAGCCAGGTCAGCCACACAGACATACCAGCTAAGCACTGAGGGGAAACAGCAAAGGCTCGTGCTTTGGAGCAAAAGACCCAGGTAGGGTTTGGACAGGGAGCCCCTGGACCTGAGCCTGGGATAAGAACATTCTTCTTACTCTAAAAGTCTGAGTCCATCTAGACTCTGAGGCCTGTGATATTGCCTCCTGCAGTGTGTGTGAAGTTTCTGGAGGATGCCTTGGGGCAGAAGCTACCCAGGAGGCCCCAGCCAGGACCTGGAGAGCACCTCACCATTTTCCAGTTCTGGAGTTATGTTGAAACCTTGGACAGTCCCTCCATGGAGGCCTATGTGACTGAGACTGCTGAGGAAGGTGAGGCAGTGGCCCTTATCACAAAGTTGCTTGACCATACGGGAGGGTCTGAGGACATGAGGATGAGCTCTCCCCAAACTAGGAGGGAGGAGGTTGCCCTGTCACCTTGCCCCACCCCCACTTCTACTTTCTTTCAGTGCTACTGGTGCAAAATCTCAACTCGGATGACCAGGCTGTTGTACTGAAGGCCCTGAGGTTGGCACCCGAGGGGCGGCTGCGAAGGGATGGGCTTCGGGCCCTCAGCTCCCTGCTTGTCCATGGCAACAACAAAGTCATGGCTGCTGTCAGCACCCAGCTCCGAAGCCTGTCACTGGGCCCCACCTTCCGGGAGAGGGTGAGTCAGGCAAGGCTCCCTTGAGGGCAAGAGCTGGGGTCCCAGGCTCCCAATCTCCCAGTATCTGGCTAAATCTGCCCTCCCACCCTTACCTAGGCCCTCCTGTGCTTCCTGGACCAGCTGGAGGATGAAGATGTACAGACTCGAGTGGCTGGCTGTTTGGCCCTGGGCTGCATCAAGGTGACCCCTGCCAGCCCACTCTCCCTCTCTCTCTCCTCCTAGTACCCACACCCCTGAGCCTCTCCTGTCTGCTCCCCTGGGCCCACTTAATGCTCCTTCTTCCAATAGGCTCCTGAGGGCATTGAGCCCCTAGTGTACCTCTGCCAAACAGACACGGAAGCTGTGAGAGAAGCTGCCCGGCAGAGCCTGCAACAATGTGGTGAGCTGGGGATGGGAGAGAGGAGAGGTCAAGTGGAGTTCTGGGACATCTTGGCTGATGGGAGTTGGAGAGATGAGGCTAGAGCCAAACCTGACCCTATCCTCACATTACAGGTGAAGAGGGACAGTCTGCCCATCGACGGCTGGAGGAGACACTGGACGCCCTGCCCCGCATCTTTGGGCCCGGCAGCATGGCCAGCACAGCTTTCTAAACCATCCACCCACAGCTCCCAGCGCCCCTTCCCCCTACTTTCAGGGCTCACCAGGCACTGGCAGGGAGGGTGAGGGCTGGCTCCAGACACTCCTCCCCCACAGATTCTATCAATGAAAATCTAATATATTCTTTTTTTGCCCCTGGGGTTGGTAGATTCAGTGCCTGGAGTCAAGTGCCTCCTAGCCTCGGCTCAGCACATCCCTTGTCACAAATCAGTGTCTGGGGCCTGGCCACTCTGCCTCTACCCCAGTACATCTTTTGGTTTTGTATTTTATTTACAGAGTTTTACAGAATATAAAGAAGCAAGTTGCCTTTCCTACATGGCCTCCACTCCTGATCTTCTGTTCCCACGCCCTCTGGCTGATGCCGTTTATGACACTGGTGTGTCCAAATTCTGGCTGGGATAATAGCATGTGCACTTGGCCTGAAAATCTGGGTAGTAGAAAACACAGAGGCTAGAAGTTGAAACTGGGCCAGAAGAGAGCAGGGGAAGGTAGTGGTGGGCGTTGCTGAAGAGACCTAGCTTGCAGGCTGGGTCTGCTCTGGGCCTGGGAACTACAGACCCACGGTAGAGCTGAATCGTGAGAAGGTCCAAAGCAGTGGTTCTCAACCTTCCTAATGCCGCGACCCTTTAATACAGTTCCTCATGTTGTGGTGACCCCCAACCATAAAATTATTTTCATTGCTACTTCATAACTGTAATTTAGTTGCTACTATTATGAATTGTAATGTAAATATCTGATATGCAGGATGTATTTAGGTGACCCCTGTGGTTGGGACCCACAGGTTGAGAACCTCTGGTCCAAAGAGTGCCAATGCTGGGAATGGCTGTGGCTCCAGGGAAAGAGGAACAAACAGGAAAAGAAGGTGTAGTGTGGCTGCAGCTTCTGGCCAGCAGAGGGCAGCAGAACTGTGCCAGTTGATGCCAGGCTCTAGGTTTTCCCCCTGCCCCCACCCAAGGCAGCTTCCTACAGAGGGGGCTTAAGGAGCTCCTTGTATCTGGGTGACAAGGGAGAGGCGGCCCTTGCAGAGGGGAAGAGCTGGGGCCTGGGAAGCAGAAGACCCGGATGGCTGCCCTGTGACCCAAGACCAAGTCCCTTTCCTCCCCAGCCTCCTCCCTCTCTGTAATAACAAACCTGACTGATCCCTGTGCCCCCTCACAGCCAACAGCCCCATGCTGATACAGGAAGTAGAGCTCCCCGGAGAGAGGGCTCACCTCACCGCAGAGCTGCCTGGCACATGAATGTGTTAATCCCTCAAGGTTGGGTCCTATGTGAGGAACTTGAGGCTGGGGTAGGACTTCAGGATGGCAACTGTTCTACGGAGGGCCCAAGGGAGGCCCACACCCACAGCTAGAGAAACAAGCCCTCCACCCTTTTCCTCTGCCTCCAGAACTTCCATTATCCAAGGGCAAGGGAGATGGTGCATGGGCAGGGTGGTCCTACTCCTGGAGCCCACGTTGGTGTCCCAATGCTTGTAGGAGTAGCACAGCAGCATGACAGCATGTGCTTGAAGGTGTCACGTTGGAGAATGTGTGTCTGCACTCAGGAAGGGCCAATGAGGTGCCAAAAGTTGGGGGAAGGGTGACCCAGATCCCTGGGGAGCCCTCCCTCAGTGTTTCAGAGTTGTGTATGAAAAGGTTTGGCTGGGCCTTAACCACCTGCTGGGGAAGCCACACTGAGCAAAAAAAAAAGAAACACACACACACACACACACACAAACGGCAACAGGAAGGAGCACAGGAAACACCTGTGTGTGGATGCAGGTGGCTCATTCCAAACGGGCGGGCACGGGGTGGGGTGGGGTGGGATGGGGGTAGGCCCTCAGCACACTGGCACAGTTCTATGTTCCCGCTGCAACTACAGAGGGTGGCATAGGCAGGATGGTGCAGCCCAGCTTTTTGGTTGGTCAAGTGGGACAGCATGAGACATTAAGGCAGCAAGCTGGTGCCCAAAGCTGGCCAAGCCTGGTGGCTTAAGCCTATAATCCCAGCACTTTGGGAGGAGGACTCAATGCCAGGAAGCCAGGAGGACCACCTGAGACCAGGAGTTGAAGACTAGCTTGGGCAACATTGTGAGACCTCATCTCTACAAAAACTTTGGTAAAAATTAGCTGGGTTCAGTAGTCCAAATTGCTCAGGAGGCTGAGGCCGGAAGATTGCTGGAGCCTAGGAGTTAAAAGTTTACAGTGAGCTATGATCACACCACTGCACTCCAGCCTTGATGACAGAGCAGGACCCTGTCAAAAAAAAAAAAAAAAGCAAAGCTAGCCACAGCTTAGCCTTGCCCCCTGGGCCCCTGCAGAATGTAGCAGCCCTACAACTACTGGGAGCCACTTCGCATAAGGCCCACTGGTAGGGCAGGGCTGCCCATGTGGTGGGGAAAGAGGAAGAAAACACTAACCAGGTCCTGGGAAAGTGCAGACCAGGGTGACTGGGCCAGCATGAGTTCACAACTCAATCCACAGGAGAGGGCAGGGCTTGGGCAAGAAATGGAGGATGGAAAAAAATATCTTCCTACCACCTTGAGGGTCAATGGGCTGTCACTAAAAATCCCCACTCTACCCTGCTGGGAAGAGACAGAATCCCTGAAGACTCTTGTCTTCTATAAGAGTCCAGGCAGCGCTTGTGGCTCAAAGGAATAGGGCACCGGTCCCATATGCTGGAGGTGTGGGTTCAAACCCAGCCCTGGCCAAAAACTGCCCAAAAAAAGTAAAAAAAGAAGAGTCCTGAGGCCCAAGTACAGTACTCAGCTCTAGCCAAGGGAAGGAGTGACAGTCAGGGTAGGGGTGGGGCAGGAGCTAGAATTAGGGCACTGTAAGCATAGCTGAGGAAAGAACTAGGGCAAAAGTGGCTAGACCCTCAGGCCTTTGCCCATCTAGCCCATCTGGCTCAGAACAGCATAGATCAACTCTAGGACAGCCACTCAATACTCTTTATCCAAGCTGGATGGTTGCCTACACCAGGCCCAGCCCCATGTCTGGTGGTAGAAGGGACAACCCTTGTCTCCCACCTATAGATCTTCCCCCTGCCCTATATGCCTCATAGATGCCTCCAACAGGTCTTCACACAGGGCAAAAAACCTCACAATGCTACCCCCTCTCCTGCCCTGTTGTCATGCAGGTTCAGGGAAGCCCTTATTCCTGCTGCCTTGGTCTTAGGATAGTAGGGGGCCTGTTGCCCCAGCTGATGGGAAGTTGATGACACTATCAGGAGTCAAAGGTACCAGGACAGGGAAAGCCTCTAGCCAGGTCTCCTGTGGAGCCTATGCCAGCCTCTGCGAGGGGACAGATAAAGTAGGCCTCCAAGGCCTGTGACACACTGAGTAATGCCCATCAGTTAAGTCCATTGAAGCCACAGCCATGTCTTGGCCACTGTCTGTGGGGCTCTGCCCAGAGGAAACTGATAACCGCACTCATAGCAAAAAAAGGGCCAGGCAGAAGTGGTCCGTGACAAAATTTATTGCATTGCTGGAACAACCCCCACTCCCCTCCTTTCCTCTTGCCCTCTTCCAACCTTACCTTTCTTCCTGTCTCACACTCTTCTTCCGCATGTATTGAAAGCTATAGAGAACCAATAAACAAATAAATAAATAATAACTAAATAAAAGGAGAAAAGGCATGTTTCTGAAGACTAAGAAGCAGATGGGTTGACATGTGGGAAGAGTACTGCTGCTTTGTCTCGCCCACAGAGCGGGGGTGCCTTCCTTGTGTGCCTCTGTGCCTGCTGTGTGGGTACAATTTACTGAACCCCAGGCATATGACACGACCCCTCCTTTCCCTGCATCCACCCCCTCCCTGCCCCACTCCAGACAGCCCTGGAGTGACCTATTGAGGCCCTCCATCCTCCACAAGCAGAAGGCTCTTGGCTTGGCTGCCAGGCCTGACTTTTCTGGGCCTGGGTGATACCAGAAAGTGAGCCTGGGAAGGACTCCAGCACCTCCTATAAACTGCTAAAGCAGCACAATATCATTTAGAAAATAAGATTGCCATTGTGAGAAAAGGGCCTCTTGTTTCAGAAGGCTGCAACCGGGTGATGGCCACTAGTCTGATGTTAAGGGTCAAGTATCACTTGTCTCTGAATACACTGTAAGGCACATGGACTCTCACTAAGTATTGACTTAGAGCAGATGAATAAGCAGCTGCATTGCTATGGCTGACACCTACAATTCTAGCTATTGCCTCTGAATTTCCTTACAACCTTCGTCTCTTCCTCCCGGATCCTCTTAAACATTAACTGAACAGGACTCACCCCTAGATCACCTCATTCATCCTCCAGCTTCCTTCTACATGCTGTATGCTAATCATTCACACCACTCTCACCTCACTGCTAGACCCCACATCCAACTGCTGACTGGACACTCCCTTTTGAATGTTCAGGGCACTTCGAACTCAACATGCTCAGAATCGAACTCCACATCTCAAAACCTGTTTCTCCTCTAGCATTATCAACTACATAGGTAACAAAGCCATGCAACTGTGCCTTGTCCTCAACTCTTTCCTCTGTTCTTTCATCTCAACCATGAGAACACTCTCAATCAGACGTCTTAAATAGGCTCGGCTCTCGTAGCTCAGTGGTTAGGGTGCCGGCTACATGCACCAGAGCTGATGGGTTTGAACCCGGCACCGGGCTTGTTAAACAATGACAAAAAAAGCTGGGTGTTGCGGGGTGGGGGGTTGGGGGTATCTGTAGTCCCAGCTACCTGGGAGCCTGAGGCAAGAGAATCACTTAAGCCCAAGAGGTTGCTGTGAGCTGTGATGCCATAGCACTGTACCGAGAGCAACATAGTGAGATTCTGTCCCCCCAAAAAGAGGTCTTAAATATTTCTAAACTATGTCTACATTTCTCTCTATATATATTTTTTCTTTTTTTTTTTTTTTGCAGTTTTTTGCCGGGGCTGGGTTTGAACCCTCCACCTCTAGCAAATGGGGCCAGCGCCCTACTCCTTTGAGCCACAGGCGCTGCCCTCTTTCGTTATTTTGAGACAGGCTCTTGCTCTGTCACCCAGGCTAGAATGCAATGGCATCATTATAGCTCACCACAACCTCAAACTCCTAGACTCAAGTAATTCTCCTGCCTTAGCTGCCCAAGTAGCTGGAACTACAGGTGTGTGCCACCATGCCCTGCTATTTTTTCTTTCTTTCTTTTTGTACAGAAAGGGTTTTGCTCTTGCTCCGGCTGGTTTTGAACTTCTGGCTTCAACTCCTGCCTTGGCCTCCCAGAGTGCTAGGATTACAAGTGTGAGCCACCATGCCCAGCCCCTGACACCAGGCAGGTGCAGGACAGGCGCATTAACCTCTCTCCTAGGCTGGGCTCGGTGG